TTTCTCGGCGAAAAACTGCGACAAGTAATTTTCATAGGCTTCTCYTGAAGCCAACCTTACTCTATTAARAGAGTTCTGCACTGACCGAAACAAATGGTAGTCCGATGGTGCGRAGTCATGWCTATATGGTGGATGCATCAAAACRTCTCAGCCAAGCTCTCCCAGGTTTTGCCGAGTCATCAAAGATATGTGAATTCTAGCGTTGTCCTGAAGGAAGCCGCAGCTCTTTCTGATGAACAGTTCTGGCCGTATTTTTCTATTTCTTGCTTCAATCTCATCAGTTTTTGATAGTAAAATGTAGAATCAATCGTTCGATCAGGCTGCATAACCTTTCGAGGCGTACATCCGGGCTTTCCGACCATTTATTTAGCTACACCACGCCACCTTCACCACATTAGTGTCGTTTTTGATTCACTTTTCTACTTCTGTTACCATTCGTTTCAGAACTGTTTCGGTTTCATTTCGTTTCAGCAAAGAATATGGCATAACGGCATTATGTGGTCGATTCCGTCCATATTGAATACTGACCTTCTTGGAGTACTCCAGGGACTCAACTTTTTCCGCTTACAGGGACGGGGAGACGAACATCCAGCAACCAACCCATCTCTCCATTCTCACTTTCGATTATACCTCTCTCGATTAGTTATAAATGCTAAAAACAACCGTTAGCTGAAAACAACTTTTACATTCTTTGCAACATGTGCCAGAGCATAAAATATCGGTCGTTGCGAAAATCATGGAGAAGGTGAAAGAAGCCGAGTGTATTTCGCTCGTTATTATGAGAATGGCTTTTGGTATATACATACGTATATTTGCGTTTGTAAGACTATCTGCATGTCAACTAAGCTCTGCTCGGGTATCAGTGCGATGGCATGCGATTGCCAAGTGTGCAAATACTCGTTTGATGGCACTGCATAAACAGCGACCGGCGGCTATGGCAACAACAGCTAAAACGGCGACGCAACAGTTTAAACATACAACACTGCTTACATTGCCAACCGTAATAGCTTTGTGAAGCCAGCGGGTGTGTCTCTAGGTAAATACAAAAGTGAACACGTCTCTGCAAGAATACAGGCGACCTACAAGTGCTTAAGCTGTGCAAGGATCAGCGGTTTAATGCTATTGACGGATGCATTTTGCAATTTAAAAATTAAATAAAGCTTAAAGTGGTTCTAGCRAAGAAGTCTAAACATATTTAGCAAACTGTTTCACAACAGCATTTTGCATTCAAATTTGAATAAACACGTCTTGGTGTGTACTTTTTTCTCCTCAAGGCTTACTTTACATAGATTAAGTCGCCAGATTAAATATTATATAACAGACACCCAAATGAGATAAAATTGCACCAATTTTGTTTACTAATACCATATTTTTCCTAATCAATGCAGCTTTCAATATGCATCTGGATTTCCTACTGGGTAATAAGTGAGCCATTCGTTAACCAATGCTATCTTCACTTGGCAAAAAACGACCTGCTTCAGCAATATACTAAGCTCACATGCACAAAAAATATGCAGACCAAGCAGGTGCAGGGTTGCACTCCCACACCTGTGGTTTGTTTGAGGCTGTGACAGAGGAAACAGTCTGCAAAAAAATTCAAGCCAACCAAACTTCTAATGCAAACAAAAAATAACGAAGCAGAGAAACCCCTSATTGAAAGAAATGGGGAACAAAAAATTTGTGGCAAATGCAAAATAGTTTCTGTAACTGTACTTTGATCGCGCATCCCTTGAATGAACACAGAAAAATTAAAGCAGATTTCAATAGCATACATAAGACACTTAATTAAACATTATGGAGAGAGGGAGGGATAGTCGAATGGTACTCAAAAAACCCTTAAGACATATTAAATGTTCATGGGTAAACCTGAAGCTCTCTGTGGTCTTAAATATATTTTACGTAATTACAGTGATTGCGAATTTAAAAAAATATTTTTTTTTTTTTTTGTATAAGGTTTCAAGCCAGAGCATACCAAATTATGGAGGGAATACTTCTCCAGCCTTCTGAATGGCGTTGGAAGTGCAACATCTGGAGATGACGAACCCGATTGCGCAATCGATGATGATGGAATAGATGTTTCATTGCCCCACTATCATTTGCAAGATATGGCCAATGCACCATAAGGGTTACCCCATTTACCGTATTATAAGCCTATTTAATATCGTATTTAAGGTTTTAAGTATCAAGCGTAGTATAGTGTGTGAAATACTGAAGCCCATCATCCACAAACTGATTGGACCTTATCAGTGCGACTTTAGGCCTGAAAAATCAACAACTGAGCAAATTTCCACCATGTGCCGAATCTTGGAAAGTACTGCCATTATTTGGCAGTCTCAACTTGGTATCCCTTTGCAAGCTGACTCTGAACAACACCAAAAGCTCCGTCATAATTRGGAAGGCTGTTCGATAACAAGCGAGGTTTCAGAAAAGGCGACATCCTAACATGCSACTTCTTCAATCTACTCCTAGAGTAAATAATTGAAACTGCATCCAGCTGAATTAAGAATGTAYAATCTTCTATAACATGTTGACAGCTTCTTGCGTATGCCGATGATATTGATGTCATTGGCATCAACAACCACGTTGTTAGCTCTGCTTTCTACGGACTGTATAAGAACACGAAACGTATGGGTCTGGCTGTGAACGAGTAGAGCTAGACGAAATATCTCCCATCTTCAAACAAACAGTCGTCGTCATCGCACCGCATCGACTTGGCTCCCACTTCACTGTTGACAGTCGTAATTTCGAAGTTATATGTAGATAACTTCGTCTATCTTGAAACCAGTATACACCAACAACAACGTCAGCCTCATAATCCCACTATTTCGGACTAATAGATAATTGAGAGTCGGCGTTGTGAATTTTCGAGAGAAAGGTTCCGTGAAAGATTTGTGGTCCTTTGCGYATTGCCAACGACGTYATTGACATAGTTCAGCGAATTAAAAGACAGYGCCTAGGTTGGCTAGGTCATACCGTCTGAATGGATATAAGCAATCCARTTTTRAAAGTACCCGCCGGGAGAAGCAAACGAAGAGGAAGACCTCCACTCCGTTAGAAAGGCCAGGTGAAGAAAGACATTAGCTAGATTTGAAATCTCCAATTGCCCTCAAACAGTGCAAAGGAATAACGACAGGCGCTGTTGTAAACTCGGCTATAACCGCTTTAGCGCTATCTACACCAATAAAGAAGTAGAAGCTTAAATTTGTTCACAAAAACAAAGTTTTTTAAAGCCGCCATTTTGACTAAACAATCGATCACTGTATTATTAATAATTTTTTTTTTGGATTTTTTAATAATTGTAATCATAAAATTTTTTCTCAAGGCAACTCTTGTTTCCTCCAATTGGTGGTCTACACGCAGCGAATTAATTTCCGTAAGTTCACATTATTTAATTTATTATAAAAAAAAAAAAATCGCTAAATAGCTGGTCTTCTGACTTGGAGGTGAACCCTTAACACAGCGTCACCTTAAACATGGAGCGATCTCCTTCCTTGTATACAGTTAATAATACCATTAAATAAAGCATTTAAAAAACCCCAAACGCTTATGCGAAGGTTAGAGCGAAAAGAAATATTTATTTAATTCAGCACATAAAATATTTGTATGTAGAATAGTGCATGAGTATGCGTACACCGTAGCGTGTATGCAACGGAAAACACAAACTCAGTCATGCCCGCAGCCTAACAGGTTGGTAAGCTGGCAGTGAGCTTGTGCAGGAATGCCACTCAAGTGTCTGTCACATCAGATTCGTCGACGCCCGCTTGATATGTGCATATAACATTATTGAAAATGTGCCCCGTCATGCCACATGTCCTACAAGCACCGCATACGTACTCATGTATATTTGTATGTATGTATGTACATAGTTGCAACGCCGTGTTTAAAGGAGACTGACGCGTGCATGTCGCAGTTGATTTGTTTGCTGATGAGTACGTGGCGTGTCGGTAGTAAATCTGCTCCGTTTTATGAGMGCGTTTTTGCCACAATGCAAAAGTGACAAGCGTAAGCTAGTGGTACACTTTCTTTTAAGCACTTTCTTTTAGTAGGTAACGCGAGATATGAAAATTTTAATTACCGCCTGCGAGGCATTATGCACAAGGCCACAAAAAGGCACCAGCAAGAGCTCTTGATTTACATAAAATTAATAYGAGTGTACTTTATACTTTATGCGCTCCTTATGTTGGCTTCATTTTTAACACTTAATACTTTCGTTTTATGAAATACGGTACTAATTAATACAAATATGAGTCTAAATTCCACTTTCGGGAAGTAACTCGAGTTAGAGGTGCAGGCGGTAGTTTATTTAAGTTTTGTTGAACTTCGTGGCATAACTTGTAGTCGCAAGCTTTCCGGCTTGTTTGAGGTATTTTAAGTSGTGTCATTTATAGTAATTCTATTGAAGTGAATTATATGAGCGCGAATATGCCACAGTCTGTCCTGTGGATTATAACAAAAGAGTGGAGCTACCTTTGTCATAGCTACTCTGTCCTGTACTGTCAATATCAATAAGTTTTGTGCGAGAAAGCGTGTGGAAAGATCAATATTCGCTCATAAAGCCATATTTTATATTCTATATGGTCCCCTCTTATCTGSCATTCCTATTTTCACGCACATGTTGCTCCCACATATTCTTGTATAGCTCTGAAACATCCAGATAGAAATACTCTGTGGTATCCGTTGAAAGCTTCACTGTTCAAAATTTGCCAAAACTTTAAGCAATTTTACTAAACTTCTTTCAAGTTTCAATTACTAAATGCAGACATCGTATACTATTGGTATTAAATAGTTACAGTTATTCCCGACCTGATATAAAACACTAAGATTGCTTTGACTGCAGTAAGCAGGCACAGGCTAATTTCGCGAGGTTGGTTCTCAGCTTTCGCCATCTTTCATAAGACTTATAGATATTTTAAAACCTTGACTGCTCTGAGCGTTCAACTACGCTTGCTCTCACTATGTAACAACAATGTTATAAATATTTTTGAGATATTCCAACTCACCATCCAATAAACTAACGCTGAGTAAAAAAATTCGAGCCTCTAATGTGAATTTCATTTTTTGTTTCCTTTAATATTACCACCCGTACATACGTCCACAGAGTTCTTCATTCAATAGCATCCTGAAGCTTGGTCGTTTTAGTACAACAAATCACTTATGTCGTACTTTTCGCGCCAGTATATCTGAAAGAAAAAAAATTACATAACAATAACAGTTAAAGTAATCTTGTAACAAAGCATCAAATATAACGTATTTGTAGAATATTTAGATCTCTGAAAAATATTGACACCAAAAAAGGAGATCTTTTCTAAAATAATAAGTGGACGAAATTTTTTTAACCAGTTTAATTAAAATGTGGGGCAGGCCAAACRCAAACAAAATTTTAAGTAAAATAAGGTCAATATTTTGTAGGCAAGATTTTTTTATATTTCAGTTATAGAGTCGGCTGGAATCGTCCCGCCATCGGAGATCGCTTTCAACTCGAAAAATTTCAAAATTTTTATTCGAAAACCTGTCTGTATATTCTTAAAATATATTCAATGTAATTTCTAAAAAAAATTTATTTTTTTTTTAGTTTTTTTTAGCTCCCAGAAATGAAAAGATTCAAAACACGGTTAGATTCGAACGCAACAACATTAATAGAATGAAAAATGTATTTTCGCATTATTTAGGGTAGCTTCAGTTAGGTTAATCTGGTAGACCCACGGATAGATCAGTTTGCGATATCATATGGAGTTTAGTTGCTAGGTCCAAGAGGAGTAATCAACACTTAGAATGGTTAACGCGAATTTTAATAGACTCTGCGGCCTCACTATCGATACCTCCTCCAGTATATCATACTGAGGGAACCCCAGATGCTTACTGCGTAGTCTTGCCAACGCGTGTTAAGTGCACAAGAGATGCTGGATTGCTTCCCTGGTGCCCTGCTCTAGACATTTCCCACAATCTTCTCGTTCTGTCAGCCCCAACATGCGGACGTGTGTCGCCACCAGGCAGTGACCTGGTTTTCTTTAACATGCTTCTGTCGAGATCGTCGATTAGACAATGCATGGGTTTCAGATTGTTGATCACATTTTCGGATGTGAGCCGCACACCATTCTTGGCAATCTCGTCCACTATTTCATTGCACTCGACGCCTTTGTGACCTTTGTGGTCTGGCACCCAGTAGAAGTAAAGTTGATTGCTTCTGGCAACACTTTCCACTGCTGTCCTGCTCTCCATGGCACTTCTGGCCGATATGCGGTACGAGGTTACTGCCTTGATAGCTGCTTGGCTGTCTACGTAAGTGTTGACTTTTTAATTACCTGCACGTGCATTAGAGGCTAGCTCCACTGCTTTCACAGTAGCCAAGTTCTCAGCTTGAAATATACTGCAATGGTCTCGGCAACTTAAAACATAAATTCTGGACAGTATATTCACAAACCAACTTTATGGTGCATTTCCGAGCCATCCGTATAGATGTTTAGAGTGTTGCGCTTAGTTAACATACTTTACACCAGGCATATCTTCCCATGATTGAACCTTCTTTCCCAGTTGAAAAGTTAGGGTCAGGCAGCCCGTGTTTGCCCAACCACCATTACGTACCCAGCTATGTCCGATGGTTTCATATGTAAATTCTCCTACAGCCAGTAGTCCTTCTGCCGATTTTTGGCACAGTTTTCAGCTGAGAGGTCTATTGGGGACAGTACCAGTTCAAGAACCCCCGTTCGAGTGGTTCTTTAAGCTCCCGTTATGCACAGCGCATCGACCCTCTGAACACTTTCCATTGGTAGTAGGTCCGGTCACATTATTTAATGAATTTAGTAATGATTAACTGTATATAAGAAATGAATACTAAATTTGAATTTGTTCAACTTCAAATTCGCCGTTATCTTAGCAGTCAGCAAACCAAGTGACGATGCTAAATAAAAATGCAAAGTGAATGGACTTCGTCTGTCGTTGCACRTAAAAAAACATTAAYGCATAAATWTCAAGCATTAAATTGTAAGCTCTAMCAGAATAAAAATGCAAAATATGCAGCAAATTCAGTAAACTCGAAAAATTTGTCCTTGGCTGGGCTGGGCAAGTTGCTGAGGCGAGAGGCGTTGAGACGATGATTAACACGACAGGCCATACATCTTCAAGGCGTGCGCAGGAAGGCGGGCAAGTGGCAAGAAGGGCGCCGTGAAATTACAGGAAATRGYAAACGTAGTGGAGCCATACGGCGTGCGCTCCGTTATAAATTATGCATATGTATATGCATAAATGCATAAGCTACTAGCAGTTACTTATACGCCATCGTGTGACATTATTATCATCATAAAAAAGACATAAATCATATGCGCACATTTCTCTTCATAAGCGCGCGCGACGCACGAACATACTGGCAGCAGCGGTGATGACAAACGTGTTAAGCGAAATTGCGCTGCTTTTGGCGCTTAAGGGCCATAAAACATAGGCGAGCGCTGCCAGTGAAGAGGAAATCACGAGCGCCAAAATATCCTCGAAACAATGTACGAGACAGTAAAATGAAAGCAATGCGATATGTTACTTCTAGACAAATGCTGGAATTGGACAGTATTGSCTGTTCCTTTGTTGTTTTGGTACAAACAATCACATCTTATAGATATCTTCGTACTTTTTTAAAGATTTCGAAACCTTTAAGGTGTTGCCACTGGCGTGCAACAGTGGCTCAGATAAAAGCAAAGCGAAGGATTGAAATAAAATTTCAGTCTCTAGCAATATTGCCTTTGCTTTTGCTTAATTTTTTCTCTTCCCCTGCTTCTGGTTGCTTTTCGGCTCTGTATGCAGATACTCTAGCGAATTGATAGCGCGCCAAGGCCTTTTCTATTTTTGCATCTTCTTCGCGAAGTCGAAATTGTAACGCGAACCTGTCAGTGTCTCTCAAAGTGATGAATGTCCCGACGAACCGCTGCTTTCGCTTGTCTTTCTCATTTGATGAGGCAATGTTGTGGATCACTTAGTGTCAGCTGTGGAAAAGTTCACTCTAATGGAATAAGATTGAAGTAGCTCAGTTTTGGATGAATGTTTGCGAGTGACTGAATGAACAATGTGTTCTTGTTTTTAAAGCGGTTATGACAACAATAAAACTTACAACAATAAAACAGTTTAATTTATCATTCAATTTTCTTTACTGTGGAAAGAGAATCAAATATTCATAAATACATCACAAATTATCCCCGGTAGGCATTATTGAGACTCATGTTTCCTTAAATTCTTAGTTTGCACTGAAGAAAAAATTTTATTTCAATGAAACACAAAATATTAGACTCAGTAGACTCATCTCAAAATCTTGCCCAACCCTTAGTACTATTAGCTTATCTTCTTCCTTGCTGGTGTGTGGTGAGTATTTGTTTATCAGTTTTGCCACAAACAAAATTAAAACCCAAAATTGTAACCTACATTCTCTACATATGCAGTGATTGTCCCTTTGTTAAGTAAGTATGTACAAACCAATATATGTATAGATGCAAATTGTGGCAGTGTAACCCCTCATCACCCCATTTCCCGCTGCTTTGGAAATCTAATTTAATTAAATCATGCATTATTCAACCTCCAGTTACATTACCGTAATTTGGTTAAGAACAATAACAACTCCGAAGGGGTAAAATAAATTAAATAAACTTACTGACCCGTGAAACGCTCGTGTGGCTTTATTAAGGCTATAACAGCTCACAATTCTTTTAGTGATAAATTAAGTAGTGCTGAATTTAATTTAGCATTATTTATTTATGATTATAACTTAATACTACTGTGGGCAAAAAAAAATAAAACATTTTAATTTATATTTCGCGGCGAACCCATTCGCCATAATATTTATCGGTTGGTATGACTGTCAGTGACATCCACGTCAAACGTCACATCAAAATATTTATTAGTGTCTAGTGCCTTTCTTTCTGAACTAAGGAAAGTGTGATAATTTTTTGTCGCCAGCAAGTTGGATTGGTACAAATTATGCTTGAGTATCAACGATTAACCGTCAGAAATCTTGCTGGCATCGTTGGAAAATTGATACGATCATCAGCGTTGGGTTAACGAATGGGAAGCAATGTTTTGCGACTACCAGGATATCATGACGATGAGTCTTACGAACCGAAAACAATCGGCGAATATAGTGGTTAACTTGACAGTTGATTTGATTATCGAGGTGTAGTGCACCCCTTCCGACCGGCCAAACTGTCAACAAGAAATACCACTTGTATGTAGTGTTATACGTCGTTTACCCGAAGCCATTCGTAAAAAAAAAATTATATTATGGGCCGCCGCATACTGCATTGATTCTTCATGATTTTTAATTAAAATTAGAACTATCTGGACGAGTCAATAACTTTTTTTTATTGTTTCAAAATACGAAATTCGCATTATTATTTGGACTTCTTATATATTATCGCAACAAGTTTACCTTTCAATTTCATTATGCTCATAATTATACCAATCCTTCTACTTCTTTATTGGAGTAGACAACGCTTACGCGATTTTAGCCGAGTTAACAACAGCGCGCCAGTCTTTTCTTCATTTCGCAGCGTGGCGCCAATTGCAAATGCCAAGCGAAGACTGGTCCTTCACCACCTGGTCTTTCCAACGGAGTGGAGGTCTTCCTTTGCTCCCCCGAAGATTATTGCGTCGAATACTTTTAGAGCTGGGTGTTTGCGTTCATACGTACGACATTTTTTTACATATGGCTCAAACAGCTCATGACTTCCGGCCTCCGGAACTTTAGTTTTTGATTTCCGCTATAAAGTTCAAAAAACTTTGTGCATTTAAGCACATTTATTATTATTAGATGATGTTTCAATATAAATTATGTTAAGTGTACCTTTACTTTCAACATATTGCATTCATCACTTCAAACAATGTTATTTCATTTACTCAAAAGGCATACCCCTAAACAGAAAGCATACACACAACAAGCTATAAAAGTAATTCTTATTACATGGGACTAGCTGGCTCACATGAGCCCGTACGCTGCACAATACTGTTATATATGGAGCGTTTAAAGTGTCTTAAAACTGGGATGTGTTTATCTATTATTGCTTACCCACTGAAGCACAATTTTCACTATTAAAGAATCCTTTTAACATTATAGTCGCTTTATAGTATCAAATTCGAACACCTCATGTTGGCCTGGATATACTTTCATGGACAGATGGACAAAAATATATTAAGCACTAATTAGATATGT